AGGCGTCACGGTTGATTGTATCAAGCAGCACAGCTGCTTTGGGAATGTTCCTCGCCAAGTTGCGCAACACCAGCACACTAGTGAGTGGTAGCCCAGCTGCGTTCCCAAGCTCATCGATAGCGGTGTTTTGAAAAACTTGGCAGTTGTAAGTGGCCTCCCTCCCCTGTGCTGAATCAACCTTCAGGGTTCCTGTAGACACCGTGTAGCCGTTTGTCTCCTTTGGTGGCAGAGCTGTTTGGTTGGCGGGAGTGCGATTGTTTTTTTGTCTGAGCACCGCTTTATTCGACACATCTGGAAGGTGGGTCTTGATGTGCATACCCAGCTGATATGGTGACGGCACTTTATTGCCATTGGTGAAGAAGTGTCGGCAATTCGACCAGTAGCAGTCGTTCGGACGCTGACTCGCACGTGTAGTAGATTCGAAATCCCAGGTGCCGTCAGCTCGTCGGTCCATTCCAAGGTGATCGTAGACAAGGTGATCAAACATATATTTTGGCTTCAGGAAGAAGTCTGCGCACGGCTTTGAGCTGGGGGCCTTCCACAGACATCGACTATACACTCTACCTTTCGGATCCATGGGAGCATGACGAGGTCGGATGCCTTTAATGATGAACTTGTGATTGACGCCGTTGACGACTTGTGCATTGGCGCCAGCGAAGATGGTGCTGACATTCTTTATGAATTCCGCTGCCGGTAGAAGCTGAGTCGTAGGAGATGTGTATTCTGCGAACCGAGCTTGGTAAGCCTGCCATAATGCTATCTGTGTAATGTCGCTTTCGGCGTCTTCCTCGAACACTGCTTTGAGCCAGTGATTGGAGCGATCCGGTTCCTCGTATTTGAGGAATTGGTCCATTAGATCTTGAGGAACATTGGGAATCTCTGTTGCGGATGCAGCTGCTATAGCTTTGGTGGCCACTTCTTCCTTACGTTCTGTTCGAGCATGGTATTGAAGTAATCGCGTGAGCTGGCCAAGGAAAGATGGGAGGGAAAGTTCATTTGAGTTTGACAGAAGGACTCCGACATTCTCAGGTACCGCGGTGAATTGATAGAGGAAGTCAAGGCAAGCACTGACAAAGTCTTCGTCATCCAGTAGAGTCCATTCGCAGATACGCTTAATGACCGAAACGGGCACACCTTTAAGGAGATTTGTGTCGTCGAGGTTCATAGATATTCGGCTGATGGCGCGGAGAGCAGTGAGTATGGCGCCACGGTCGTGTCCGTTATCTACCTGGTTTAGGAGGGAGCGGTACAGCGGGTCTGACGCGTCCATCCGCCAATACTTCGTAACTTGCTCCGAGATGTCTAGCGCATAATGCTTCAGCTCTGTGATGGCTGGAGAGCTTGGAAGATTGAGCGCTATCGACAAGAAGTCTCTAAGCTGGGGCATCTCCGATAGATAGACAGCATTGTCCTCGAGAAGGGACAGATTTCTGATTGTCAAACCAGCTTCGAGGACTTTAGTGAGCTTGCGACCGAATTCCTCCGACTCCATTTCATCGGAGGTGTCGACCCGCTTAAGGGATTTTATGCGTTGCAAAATGTCTGGGGTGCCTCTTATTCCATCGAGGACGTTAATTCCCTCTTCGTAGTCGGAGTAGCAGATCTCCCATTTGACATCATAGAAAAGAGAGCTGATGCCAAGCACGTACTCGATGAGACCCTCGGCCAGATTAGGAAAAGCATCGAACTTGTACTTGTCTCCTCGTTCATGAGAGATTTTGACAAGGTGGTGCAGGGCGTAGTCCTGTTCTTCAGGAACCTGTGAGCGCAGTCCTTGAAGGGTTCGGACGTAGATATTTGGACCATCGAAGCCAGCTTCACCATTCGTCAGCTTAGGGTAAACAGTAATGGAGGCGAAAGACATACCACCAGGCTTCATCATGCCCTTAGTACTTGGCGAAATCAGCCCCAATTCGACTTTCCTTGCCATTCGTGCCAACTTTTGGCGCTCCTCGAACATGGCAGCGTTATAGCTTGGAGTCATGATCGGGCGTAAAGTCAAGGGCATTTGAGGACGAGGCTCATAGTTGGCAATAGCAAATTGGGCGCTGTTCGGGTTCGAGGATGCGGAGTAATTATAGCCGGTGTGGGCCGTGGCTGCTGGTTGTGGTGATGGAGCGTGGCCGGAGGAGTGACGCAGCTGTCTAGAGGATGACACATCCGGCTGAAAAGGGATCCTTTGAGGTGGAGCTTGGCGAAGACCTGAAATGATGGGCATGAGCTATTGATAAACCTGTGGATCAATGCGCCATGAGCTTCATCACCAACTCACCTCGTGTACTCCGTCCCACACTACCAGGCTCGTCAATGTCCATCTTTTCGTCTTTTGGTGTCTTCGACTCTTCACCTCCTGACTCGCTGTCGCCGTTGATCAGGCTGGATCTCTGGGGAGGTCTGAAGTTCTCCACTGTACGGCTAAGGATGTCACCGCCCTTTGCAGTCAACTTCTCAAGGATTTCAATCGGAGGAGGCTCTCGACCATGCAGGGTCTTGATCTCATAAGCCCTGCGAGATGTGAGCTTCTTTTGGTGCAGCAAAGAGTGACACCTACGCAAGGTTTTTGTAATATGTCGTCTTCAGAGCAAAAGCATACGCTGCTGCGTTTGCAGTGCCTAGATTGAAATCGAGTCCCACTTTCCTCCACGCCAACTTTTCGGCGCTGACAGCATCATATCCTCCCCTTGATCTGACCACATTCCATAGCTTGTAGAGGTCGATGTGCTTAGTGTTAACACGCGCTTGGAAGTCTACGTTTATGCTGTGGAAATTGCAGAGGTCAGCGGCTGCTCAGAGAGGAGCATAAGTAAATCGTAGCGAAACATACCCTCTCTCCTCACCAAACTTTGTCAACGAAGCAACGAATCCCTCACGCCCTGGAGGCTCCTCTTCCTCTGGAGTAGACATTGCTGCGAGTGAGATCTTAGGACCAATGCTGTGAATGTCGTGAGCCTTGATAGCTGACCATCTAGTTGTAAGAGAATTTAACCTACATCCAGTGTCTTCAAGCTGGCACCTGTGTTGCTATCGAGGTCCGAGCTTCGGCGCAACGACTGAAAGCTTGGGACAATCACGTCTGGCGCGACCTCTTTGGATTGACGTTGGGATTTACCCGAGGATTGGCCGCCGCAAATAGAGCAAAGTCCGCACTTGCCTCACTGTCATGTTTCGGCCCTAGCCTTAGCAGAGACAGCAAGTCCTTGTGCTCGCCGTTCTTGAGACCGCTGGGTCTCATCCACTGCCGGAATGCAAGGTTTCAGTATGTCTGCCCATCCCGAACGTCGTTCAAGGCCCACTGACCTGTCCAGATATGGGACGTTACGTCCCGCCAGAGCACGAGGGCACTACCTCCGCCAACAAGCTCGCCGGCAAGCATGCCCTCGGCTCCCGTGCACGCAAAGCCAATCAAGGCATCCTCACAGTCCGTTTCGAAATGCCCTTCCCAATCTGGTGCACCACCTGTCCCAAACCCACTATCATCGGTCAAGGCGTCCGCTTCAACGCCGAGAAGAAAAAAGTGGGCAATTACCATACTACGCCAATTTTCAGTTTCCGCATGAAGCATGTGGCATGCGGGGGATGGATTGAGATTAGGACCGATCCGATGAACACAGCTTATGTGGTTACGGAGGGGGCGAAGAAGAGGGATACGGGGGAGGATAAATTTCAAGAGGGTGAAATCAAAATAACGACAGAGGAAGAGAGAGCGAGATTGGAAGGCGATGCATTTGCCAGATTAGAGGGGAAGGTGGAGGATACGCAAAGGACGGTCAGTGACAAGAGCAGGATTGAAGAGCTGTACAATGCTAAGGGTAGGGATTGGGATGATCCCGGGCAGGCGAATAGGAGGTTGAGGAAGGTTTTTAGAGTCGGAAGGAAGGAAAGGGAGAAAAATGGGAAGGCAACAGAATCATTAAAAGATAGGATGAGTCTTGGGATGGATCTACTGGAAGAGACGGAGGACGACAGGAAAAGAGCTGGGTTCGTGGAATTCGGAGAAGCTGGAGGTGAGGGGGCTATCGCCAAGGCCAAGTCGAGACCGCTTTTCGCAGATATCCGAACATTGGACAAGCCTTTGGCGAAAAAAATCAAGACGACGAAGACTGTATTGGAAGCGGAGAAAAGGAGGGATATTCTACGCAAGGAGCTGGCTGATAACACCAGAGTATCCCTGGACCCGTTCTTGAGTATGGACAAACCCAATGTGCAGGCCTTGGGTGGGGTCCCACTGATCCAAAGGAAACGGAAGGTTGAGGACCGAGGAACATTCTCAAAATCTAACGATCCCGTTGACGTTACAAGACCACCAGCTTTAGTGGAGTACGACTCGGAGTAGCTGAATCTGGGATGGTGTCGAGATTGTGCATTTGCATGGCGCTTGGAGAAGATACCCAGCATATAACGGCGTTTTCTACCATCAGAAAAGGAATCTTCACAAACCACGCTCAAATAAGACGTGCCGTCAGTCCATGCTGACTGATCATTGATATGTCTTTTCGAATTTTTGTTTCGCATCCTTTATGTAAAGAGAAGGAGCCTTAATGAAGGGAACACTCAGACCGTTTTCTGTTCATTCTATCCGAGGCGCCGATGGGGCTATTCCTTTGCTTACCTCGCACACAGGGGTCAAAGCCAGACGCGTATGGGGTACAAAAGGTCAAGACTCGAATAACGCAGGCTCGGCAGACAAGAGGTAAAGATTTGCTGGCTCGTTGATCCGCGCTAATATGTTGCCTTTAAATATAGCGGCAAACGCGAAAACCATGCGTTCTGCCGACATCGAGGCCCTTGCCGACCGCAATCCGTGCCTGATCATTGTCTGCAGTCTGTTTCTGCGCCGATGTGGCAATGTCCTTCTATGTATACAACCACTTGATCTCCTTTGAACCAGCAATGACCTCTAGAGAACATCACCTATTTCCATCAGCCTCGAGTCCAACAAAACAGACGTACATACCAACATGTGGAGGCTTATATTTATGGCAGCTACTTTAGCTCTCATAATGCCTTCGTCCGCTGCGCATAATTTACTTTCCCTTCGAAACTCTAGTCTTGCCTCAGCTCCCCTCAACATCACTAACCCTGCATTGAAGGCGCCAGAGGAAATTACCAATCTGACATATTCGCCTTGGCCGGAGCAACCGTTCGGGATTACCTTACTTGGTCCTGGTCTGTTATTCCTGAACGTGTACCTGCTTATCGGCGCGGGCCGGAAATTCCAAAGTTCGCCCATGGTTAGTGTGACTGAGTTACGGCACTTCCTCCAAGATTTCGTCGACAACATCAAGCGAGAACATCCCGTTCCTGGCTGCGTGCCACGCCATGCGACTCAATCTACCATCGACATCTCGTCATACACAAAATGGCTCATCGCGATCAACGAAGGCCCATTTCGTGGCAGGCTGCCTACCGCGGTGGCGTTGGTTGCCTTTGATGCGCTGGGGAAGCTGCTGGGACGGTATGGGCCGTCTGAGATCAGTTGGGGTATCAAAGAAGTGGGTACAAGGACCCCGTGGGCCTATGGATCTTTGACTATTGAAAGCATCGAGGGATTCACTGTGAACAAGTCTTCGTCAATCGAGAATGGCGGATTTCGGACAGCGTGACGGCTGTGGTGATTAGCGCACCATATCTAAGGCATTATGTGTAAGACACCCTTGTAAGTGCTTCGAGCTGCTCGGGTACGGTTTTCGAAACTTTCAGTTTTATAATACATGTCCATGCGGCTAAGGAATGCCCAGGCAAGCAATGTCAAAATTTGACTCTTCAATGAGCCCGAGAAGTGGAATGTAGCAAGCGCTGGAACTTGTAGCAATAGCAAATCGGATTTGAACACATGGACGGCCATGTTTGTTCCATGTCTTTACCGATATCCTCTTCACTGACCAGTAGAATGCAAAGTAGACTGGAAAGAGCCTCGCACGTGCAGAATCCAACGGCATCTGGCCTAGTCTGTTTACCGCCTTAGCTTTGGAGAGTGTGATTGAGGAAATGTCGAACATATCAGCAGTTGCCTTAAGGTCTTGGACAACGGGCCTTCATTTTTTGTTGTTTGATACCCATGATTCACTGCAATCAATGCACAGCCTTGGGGTCTTCCGAAACAAGAAAGATGTGCTTGGGGCCAGCCTTTCTTCCGACCCAGAACCCCATTGAGCCGCCCTTGCTATACACTCCATGCCAGTATGGCGAGCTATCCAATTAGTTTTGCCCCGGAGCTCAAGGTGTCTATCTTCGGCAGTTGCGAGGATTTGGACGGCGCTATACACCTCTCGCAAGTCTGCCGAGACCTTCGCAGGCTGTTTCAAACCCATCGAAGGAGGATCGAAAAACACATCATTGTAAGACAGGCCTTAGAAATGCTAGCGAGAAGATGCAACTAATAGAAAGCACTGGAGGAAATATAGACTGCCTCTCATGTCTGAGGTTACGACTTCTGTCTTTCGAAACTATTGACACTGCATGAAGATTGGTACCGAAAGCTTGCCAAGCTGCCTCGCGACGCACAGAAGCCTAGTTTCAGATTGTTGGAGACTTGCCTCCTTACTGAAGACAACAAAAAGAGCTCAACCGACGAGGAGATCCGAATAATCCTCGCACGGTGGAAGGGCTTTAGTCTTCTCCGTGGACTCTACGTTGATGACAAAGTATCCGAAGAATTTGACCGCTTCCGCGCAGCTTTCGCTTCAGGCCTGACTCGAGAAAAAGGGGTCACTATTGTGCCGCCCAGCCTTGATGATGCCAGCATCAAGACGAGCCATGTCAACAGAGTTCAATTCATCCAAAATAGCCGATTTGTTGGCGACTTCAAGGCTATGTTTCACAGAATTGTGTGTTTGCATTCGATGGCCATCGTATGCCTGCAGTTTGCAAAACGATCCAAAACAGAAAACAGGTAATATAGTTATTAGTTAAAGATTACGCCCCCCCCCCATCAAAGGGCTCGACTCGACAAACTAGTAGGCCACATAGAGAATCGCTCCTGGGCTGGAGGAGAACCGAATGAGGGCATGTATGCACGACGACACAACATGTTCAAGCGTGGTGCTCACAATGAGCTTGGATTTGACTGGACTTTCGATTTCGAGCGGTCCGCCATGGTGAAGGCATTGTGTACGACCTCCCAGGACAGATTGATGAATGCAGAGGACACATATTGGTGGGATCACGTTCGACTTCGTCTCGGCTCGCCTTTTGTGGAGGATGCCATTCACGAATATTGGGATGAGATCCACGAGATGCGTAAAGAGAGGGTAAAAGAGGAGAGGAGGACTGCGGAGAGGACCAAGATGAAGGGAGACAGGATGGAGGAATGACGCAGGCGAAATAGGCAGGATCCGCTGCTGCTAAAGATGAAAACATCGGGTCCCTGGTACGTAGATCGAGCAGGTCCTCGTCTTGGTGTTTCCATGTATCCGCGCCACCTTCGCTTCTCCCAATGCAACCATTGCTTCCATCAGTGCGCACTCTCTTTCTCATGACATGATTTGCTTCTACAACAATCACGGTACGTAGCTTCAGCTCTAACTTCCAGCTGCCACATTCCCTTAGCCAGCAGTATAGAAAACGAAGCAAGGCATCAGGGCTTGTCCCACCGTTTATCTCGCGCGGAGGAGATGACCAGAGCCATCTGCCGACTATGGTTTCTGCAATGCTCAAGCAGATCATGAAGTCTATCCTTTGTCTTGTAGTCTGCTCTCCGGTGCTGGCTATAGGGAAATTGCACCGCGTCTGACGACGCTCAGCCAAGGCTCATTCTAAGTCAATCTTACCGGTTGTGAGTCGAGCCCCAAAACATTGGGGCCAATAACACAATCAGCGGAGTATGATATATTTCACACTCGATTCGCTTTGGCTGTGAATCCTCCATCCCCTGCAGCTTTCTCTTCGGGTGTCAGCGATTCGATATGTCATTATGAGGCGTCAGGCCCGCCCAACCGGATTGTCTGCTGGTTTGATGCCTCAGGTTTATTGCAAACATTGCATGTTGAGGGGGTGGGCTCTTAGAGACCCTAGGGATCCCTACGTACTACCTTCATTCTATCCTATTTGCCATGAATCTGTACACAAATCACGATGGCGAACACGCAGAGAGGCCTGCCCGACGCGCTCAATATGTCTATTTACGGCCAGTTTGGGGATCTGGATAACGCTCTACACCTGTCACAGACTTGCAAAAGGTTTAATCGCCAGCAGAGAACCATTTAAAAACAAGCCATTCTACGGAATCCAAAGCTCGCAATTGCTGGTAGCTGACAAACCACGTTTTCTCGGTATCTTCACACGTGTACCAGTTTGATTTTCAGGTGTAATCACAAGCGGTAAACTCATCAAATGTGTTGTCCCAGTTCACGCCTCTTTGTCTTTTGTGCATTGCTAAGGGCTACAGGCGCTTCGAGCTGATGACGCAAGAAGTAGTAAGACGGGGTGAAGCGCTGAATTGAAGGGGATGGTACCCGACTTTCAACAGATGTAAAATAATCAGAAGCCCAGGGTTTGTTGGGGCTGCAGCAGGCCGGCTCTTAGAAATTTGGCTGGAGTGGACCCATCAAACATTGCATAGACAAGACCCATCGAATGGAACCGATAATTTTATAGTGTTTCAAGCAAGCCATTCCGGGTCAGCATCCTCATCGTCGGGATCGTGAGACAGCAGCGAACCCTTGTCTTCCTCTGAGTTATCAGGCTCAGAATCTTTTTCTGCTACTAGCTCATTGCTGGGGTATGCCTCACTTGGGTGAACAGTGGTCCCCCACTCGACTCCTCCGGTCGTTTCTCGCATCGGCGGCGAGTCAGGTAATCTGCTCGGTCCAGGGGCAGTGACAGTTTCTTTGGACACCGGAAGATGCTCAGAACCTTGCGATTCGAAGAGCTGTTGCAATGTTTTGGCCTCCTCCAGCTCGCCTGCTGGCAGGTCTGGGAATGCTTCCGCAAAGTGTTCTGAGTTTTGTGGGCTGACACGTGGACCGATGCTGCTGTGGTTATCCAGCGTACCGCCGTTGATTGAGTCGTTCGCTGGCGGAGTCTCATCTCTGGTGTCATCATCGTTAGGCAAGAAGCCGCCACCTTGATCTAGTATTTCCTGACCATCATTCTCCGCGTACATATGACCTGCAGTCTTCTCGTTTTCTTCGCTGGTTGTGTCTTCATGGTCTCCTTCGTTGATCTCTCGGATGGCTTCTTCGGCATCCTGGTCATCATGGTCTAATTGGAAGCCGCCACCACCACCATCATCATCTTCATCGTTGACCTTGTTGACAAAAAGATCAGAAGCGTGCAGCGCCTCCATTTCTTCCTGTTTATCCTCGGCCGCACAAGAACCCCCACCCTCACCGTCGTTTGACAAACTGGGTAAATTTCGCGTCGGCATTGTCCTAGCGGTGGGTTGAGCGGGTTCGTCGGCATCTCGATCAGGTAAGAAGCCGCCTCCTTGGTCTTGGTCTTGGTCTTGGTCTTCGACTGTCTCCATTTCGTATTTCATAACTGTATCGCGCTCTCCTTCGATATCATAGCCTTCGATCCTTTCTCTGATCCTGAGACCCGCCAAAAATCTCTTCCACATCTTTAGCGCAGTCAGACTTCGCCTTTCCTCTTCAGCTTGTGCTCGCTCATCCTCGAAAGCCTCGATAACTTCTTCCACTGCCTCCCGGTATTCGGCAGCTACTACAGCTCCTCTCGTAACAGCAGTCCCATGTCTACCCTTGAACGAGAAGCCAGTAACTGCATCAGCGTAGTCAATGCCAATGATCCTGGCCGCTCGAGCGGTCTCTGGATGCGGTATATGAGTTCCACCTGGAGGAACCATACTTGGGACATAAACATCGAGGTTCCCGTACAAGTTCTTTGGTATTTGGCCATTACCGACGGGTGGTGCCACGTAAAGTAATGTCTGGTGAGGAGCGTAGAGGGCAGTGCCAGGGTTGTCGTCGTCTGCAACTTCCATATCGGCAGGGTCCAAAGTTGAATCTTTAGTCCGGCGTACTGCAACGCGCTTGAGGGGTTGTTCGCCATGCTGACATCGATCACGAATCAGCACAAAAAGACGGACTGAAGGCCGATGGGCGCACCTTGATTTCCCGACCCATCCTGTACCATTTGTCCGCGCTCTTCAGTTGATAGACATCTCTACGGCGATAGATTGGCTCCAGGGCATTGGTAGTCCCGGGTCGCCCGGCACCAACCTTCCCCACTTCTCGCTTTGGGTGTATTACTTCATGTCTTTTCAGATGTCTTTCGAGAGCATAGTACGGATGGTCCTTAAAATCTTGAACATTCCTAGGCATAGGTTCAGCAGCCTCCTTAGCCGTCAGCTCTGCATCTTCGACTTGATCCCGGTCCATATCATGAGATCTTCTGTAAAGTCTCATCACCCTTCGCCACCATTTGTCGCCGTCTCTTGTGACTTCGACCCTCTCCCGCCTAGTCTTCGCATTGTAGGCTTTGGCATAACGTCTCGTCACATCGCGAGCAGATCCGTCGTCTTCGAAGGCTATTACATAACTCATATTATTCCCTGGGTCTCCTGCTGGTGGTTCAAATTTTGATGGCTTGGCAATAGTCTTTGTGACGAGAGGGTCAATCGGCACCCATTTCTGCACAGCTTCGTTGAAAGCTTCTACCCAGTAAACAGGATATTTTGACTCACGGATAGGCTTTTGGTTCGCTTCTGTTTTCATTAGATCGTTAAATTGGTTTGGGCATTAGCTTACCCACTTTTGGGGTGGATGGATATTCTAGACGAAGATGCTTCTGGTGAAGCACTACGTTTGACCTGTCCTAGTCTCGATCGAATCTCGGCTCTATTAGAACCAGCCCTCCCCTCTACAATCAAAGACCCATCGCTCCCAGCGTCGGCTTCGCTATCAGGTTCAGGGGTCGTCTGTCGGCTTCTATGATGTGGCAACCTCGAGGCGTTGTGCATGACTTGAGGCAGAGCCATTTTTTGTGCCGGTTGGAAAGGCAGAGGCAACATAGAGCACACCAGTCTTGCATCGACGCCAGCTGCGCGTAGCATGGCGCAGAAGAATTGGGCTCCAACATCCCGCGAGCCTTTGAGTTTGCCAGCAGCAGTAAGGAAATCAGACTTTTGCATTGGCAGGTCAATATCTTCCGGCGGCTGTAGAAGCGTTAGAGTTTCTGGACTATCCGCCCACACAGGCTTGCTCATGCCCCTCGCAGTAATTTTGAAGTCCGCTCTGAATGCATCACTTGCTTGCGTCAGGCCATCCAGGAAAGATCGAGACCTTTGAAATTGGGATTTGCTTTCATCAGGATTCAGATAGGAAATGGTCCTCTTTGCCAACATGCTTTTCAGAACGGAATGAACACTCTCGTCATTGCACCAGCGATTACGTAGATGTACGTGAGCGAGTAGACTGCAGAGATGCACCTTATGGATTTCGAGTCGAAGTTTCTTTTCCGTGGATGTAATAGGCTTCCGCCTGACTTGCGCAGATCTTAGAGTCTTCTGATTGTCACCACCAAGCAACAAATTGAGCTCCCCCGGCTCTTCCATCTCGTGGTCAGAAGTGTCGTGTTGCTTGATATTACTTCCAAGGTCCACGTCTTCGAAGTTGTCATCACTGTCCGCAGAATCTTCAGATTCAGTCTGCTCTATATGCTGTGGATTGGGGTTAGGCTCTTCAAAGAGATCGTCGATACCCCTCTGGTTCCCAGTGCTTACGCTCTGTTCAGGTCGTTGAAGCGCATTGTCGTCCACGCTTTGTGTGACGATGCGTCCTCCAACACGACGTCGCTTTACCGGTGTTTCATATCCGCTCTGTCGAGCAGGAGTAGAGGAGACAGCCTCAACGAGCATCTCACCGTAGACATCAGGCACAGCATTCCTTGCGTTTGCTTTTCCAGCAACTTTTGACTTGCTTGCTCCGGCACCCCGAGCCATAATGGGTTCCCTCTTTCGGTAGGAAAGACAGACCGATACAAAACACTTAGAGGCTCACTGAATTACCAAGAACGACACCTTATTCAGCTTTTAAGACACGATTGCAGTGTGTTGAACACTACGTGGACTGCCGAACCGACTTAGAAAGACCCTGTCGGATAACATATCTGCAAAGACCATAAAATTCAAAGACAAAAGCGATTCAGACGTGACAGTCAACACATATTGAAAGGTATTGTAGAGCGTACTTGATTTGTCGACATCATCGCCGCGCCAACTTGACCGAGATTTTACCGACGCGCATCAATCTCGAGACCTCACGAGTCACGACCAAACCAAATAGGACCGGATTGAGCTCAACTCGTCTAATTCACAAGTCGAAGATGGGTGGACGCCCAAAGAAGCCGAAGTCGA